CTTTATTCCAGAACAAACAACCTACTGGAAGATTAGCCAGATGGACCTTGACTATCCAAGAGTTCAATCCCACCTTTGAACACTTACCTGGCAAGTCAAATGTAGTCGCAGATGCCTTATTGTGACATGTTAGTATAGTAACTGCAGACCCTCCATTTACTGCCGAGGATGTAAAGAATACTCAACGAACAGATCCCATGTGGTGTGGTGTGATTCGATTCCTGCTCCAGGAAGATCTTATTCTGACTGTGAAGCCACCAGCACCCATCAGTGACTTTATCATGAACCAGAATTACTGTATCGCACAGCCGAGCTGGGTACTCCTAGCAGACGGGTATACCAGTTAGTAATTCTACAGACACTAGTGATGTAGCCTTACAGCTAGTTCACAATGTACCAGGTGTTGCACACCCTGGTATGGATCGTTCAGTAAAACAAGCCAGATTGAAATATACTTTTGGCCTCATATGGCAACTGATATTTCTGAGTATGTTAAGAAATGTAGTGTCTGCATGCAACACAAAGGCAATGTTCATGGTACTAATCCAATCCAGGTGTATCCAACTACTAGCGAACCTTGGGAAAGAGCTGCGCTTGATCTGTTAACTAATTTCCAAAGTTCCCTCAAAGGCAACAAACATCTGTGTGTTGTGGTAGATCATTTCACCAGATATTGTGAGTTAGTTCCTATTGCAGATAAGACTGCCGAGACTGTAGCTAAAGAGTTTAAAGAACGCATTATCTGCAGGCAGACTTTTAAGTCCTCAGTAACCGATAATGGAGGTGAATTCGGTAATGAGATTCTTGAAAATTTGTGTACCTTGTGCAAGATCTCTAAATCTACCATTGTTCCTTACCATCCTGCCAGTAATGGGTTAGTGGAACGAACCAATAAGAAAGTACTTGATGTCTTGAGAGCCACTATCAATCCCAATAGTGAAACTTGGGATGAAGTTATACCTGATGTGCAGTGTGCCATGAATTCTGCTTACAATGTTTCTGTAGGTGACACTCCACATTATGCATTGTACGGTGTAGATAAGCATTTGTCTTATGAGTTGTTATATTCTATCTCGAAACCAAATTACAGCCCTGATGATTTCATAGCAACTCATACCAGCTTAGCTCAAAGTGTTTTTAGAAGAATCTGTAAAACACTTCATAAATCAACCGCAGAATTTACAAGTCACTAATACTCGAGCAAAGCCGACCAAAATCAAAGTAGGTTCAAGAGTTATGCTGACTAACTTTAACAAAACGTCTACAGTACCTAAGCTTGATCAAAAGTTTGTTGGTCCATATCGAGTAGTTGAACATATCAATGGAAATGAGTATAAGGTTAGAGAAATTAGAACTGGTCAGTGTAAAGAATCGCATTTAGATCATATGAAGTTAGTATGTGATGATAATGATGTTCCAACCCAGACTAATGTGGTTAGGTAAGACACATATGCAACAGTTAGGTATCTAATAAAGATACCTAACTGTTGCATGTGTCTTACCTAACAACCTGTCGGTATTTTATACCATTTTAATGTTCAGACTAATGTGACAGACTCTGACAATCCTTCTGCCTCTGTACCCTCTACCTTTAATACTCGGTCAAACGATCAACCTGAATGTCGTTATTCCCTACATACACGACAAGTATTGAGAAATCCTCAGGTATCATTTGTAAATACCAATTCACATCTGCCTCAACCATGGCATGAGTTCGCCAGTGCAACAGGGTTTGATCCTCCAAGAGATTTCACCCATTCTGCATATGTCAATCTCACCCTAGCAGAGTTGGGGTTAAATGTAAATAACCTGTATAGATGATTAATATAGTCTCAAATGTATTTCTATTGTCTGCTACAACATCAACTTATTAATATCCAAGAATTTCTTTTTGTGTGTTCAAGTTCTCTCCCAATTTGAGATTTAACAGTTTACATTTGGGTGCACCAACTCTGCCTTTTCTGTTAAACACCTCTTTCTTTGTACATATCCTTCCTCAGAATCCATAGATCACATGAATACAGACCGATCGATCATTTTTTTTATATCACTTTTATTGTATAATCCCAATGTTGAGCCTCATTCTATGAATTGCGATATATAATACCTTGTAATGCATTACAATATGTTCCATTACATTAGCTTCCATCCCGATATTCTCCTTATGTGCGTTACAATGTTCAACTGTTGTGTACTTTGACATTGTATAGAATCAGCCCAAAGCCATACACCTGTTGCCTCTAGTTTGTATTACCTGTATGTCGGGACGCCATACATTAGCGTTGCTAAGCTCTCAGTAGTATCTACCAGCAGTATCTACCAGTAGTATCAGTTACCAGTAGTATTAGTTACCAGTAGTGTCAGTAGTAATGCCTCAACCAATAGTTACTGATTCACTGCTGTGTGAATCACTGACTGTTATTCACTGACTGTTACTGCTGACCTAGTAGGTTTTGAATGCAGCTTACCCTCCGAGGCGCTCAGCAAGGCAGTTCAAATAGAGACGTAAGTGAGAAGACAGGTCAGGCCTGGCGTTCCCATATATTCCATCTAAAATACGTACGAGACCATCCGACGTGAGTGTTTATTACCCAATCCATGTTACGAACCCCCACACGACAGTACATCTCATTCATGTAGTCATACGTCTCATTCATGCACTCATACGTCTCATTCATACAGTCATATGTCTCATTCATATAGTCGTACGTCTCATTCATACAGTCGTTCGTCTCATTCATACAGTCATATGTCTCTTTCATACAGTTATATGTCTCTTAATCATAGTCATACGTCTCATTCATGCACTTATACGTCTCATTCATACAGTTATACGTTTCATTCATACAATCATACGTCTCATTCGTACAGTTATACTCTCCTTCATACGTCTCATTCTAATGTTAAACATTAATTTCCACTTGTGCAGTAGCTGACAGCACCGAGGGGCTCCTAATGAGTGAGTTGCTCTCAATCTGCCTCTGAAAATCCTGTGTAAAACACAACCTACGTGCGTAAATCCAACCAGATTAAGGTTTTACTAATAATCATCTAGGCAATTATTATATTTGTTTTTTTTTTCTGGCATCTTGAGCGTTCAGGATTCCTGCGTACTACTTCTTGGAACTCTACCCCTCCCAAAGGCTTCCCCACTACCCAAGTGCTTCCCAACCTCCTCGGCCCCTACCCCGAAATGTACCCAACTTCCCAGCCCCACTCCTCAACATATCCTACACCCCACTCCCACCCCCACCCAAGTATTCCCACTCCTATTTGTCCTCATCCCTGAACCAACCCACCACCCCTGCCCTTACATCAGTAATTACTCACCACCCGCGCCCTTTCCTCAATAATTACTTACCACCCCTGCCCTTACCTCAGTAATTACTCATCACCCCAGCCTCCACCCTGTTATTACATCTCTCCCTCTGCCCTAGCTCTAGTTTCTACTCACCGACCCTTGTATTTTCTCACCCTTCGTTTCCCCACCAAAACAGCTCTTGCTATAAATAATCTTTGTTTCGTGAAGGAAATAATTGACTTTGAATATACATTGGTCTATATATATATATGTTTATAGGTATATAAGTGTAAGTATAATTTTTTTACATTTTACAATTTTTGTTATTTCGTTCTTTGATAGTGATATCTTCATTAATTCCATTTCTCCTGCGTGTAGTAGAGGCTATCCTAAGAGATGATAATTCCCAGGTATCACTAGAAGGTATGGGAATACTTACCACTTGTAGAAGGTATGGGAATACCTACCCTTGTAGAAGGTATGGGAATACCTACCACTTGTAGAAGGTATGGGAATATCTACCCTTGTAGAAGGTATGGGAATACCTACCACTTGTAGAAGGTATGGGAATACCTACCACTTGTAGAAGGTATGGGAATACCTACCACTTGTAGAAGGTATGGGAATACCTACCACTTGTAGAAGGTATGGGAATACCTACCACTTGTAGAAGGTATGGGAATACCTACCCTTGTAGAAGGTATGGGAATACCTACCACTTGTAGAAGGTATGGGAATACCTACCCTTGTAGAAGGTATGGAATACCTACCACTAGTAGATAAAGACTTAATAGTGGTAATTGAATAATTTAGTCAGACAACATTTCTGTGTTGATTGTTATGAATCACAGTTACACAGTCTGTGTTGAAAATTATGAGTCACAGTCACAGACTGTGTTGAATGTCATGAGTCACAGTCACACAGGACCACTGCCGCTCCCAGTTGGCAAAACCTGAAGCATGTGTACCTCTCAGAACTACCAATTACTACTACTCAGTGAACTAATGTGGACCACTAGTGATCCTGCTGCAGTTCACTCTTGTTTCTATGCTTATATTTTATACTTGACTATAATATATGCTCTTCATGACTCACGAAGTGGTAATAACACGATTGTAAACATGCAAACCCCACCCGTTCCTTGTTTTTTTTTTTTGCTCTTCTCTCTAGCTTAGACAACTGTGCTAAAACTACGTATGATCGATTACACTTGTAAAATCCTGTTGCGAAGGTGAAATGTCTGAACAAAGACTGTAATTGTTTCCGTGACTTCATCATCTGAATTCCCAAGTAATAGTGACTCCAGCTCTGAGGGAGCGAAACCTTTGAAGCTTGTGTAGCTACTGAATTCTTAATAAAATACGTACATTTTCCTCGTTGCCCTACTGATGTTTCCTAACTTAGGATGACAAATTTATCGCTTGATGTTCGAAATCCTCTTGTGTGATGGAACACGACAGGGAAACATCTAGATTTTGTTCCTGCAGTGTAACTACCATGTGGAATAGGGAAGCAGCACACTGAGGATGTCTGATGGAGTCTCAAGTCAGAACAAGTCTTGGACACTGAAACCGGTCCCGGATTGCGAAGGAAACCCTAGATTATGAAGTCAGAAGAGGCCCCGGACTCGGAAGCCAGCCCCGGCTTCGGCCTCGGATCGATTCCACCTGTGTCCTTCTCATGCATTAGCTGAGCGCATGTATATATAAAGGCAAGTGGCGAGTGAGTTAAATCAGTTCTTAGTCTTCGCTGCTAACACTGACAAGGGGAGCTCCTCTTCACCAAGTCTCCACAATGAAGTTTGTGAGTCTTCATCATTTACAAGTCTGCATATAACTGAGCATTATTACATAAACATTATAAACGAATAAGCTCTTTTGTCTGAAATCAATTTGTGGTGTAACTATTACTGCATAATAAGTGAAGAAATCTGAATGTAAATGTGGTGTTTGGAAAGTTATAATTCAGAGACTTTTTGTGATAGTTTCTCCTTCATCTAGAAAAAAAAATGGAGTAAGACAGGTAGGTTATTAAGAAGGATGTTTAAAGCTGAAATGGATGGAAGGTTTAGGGGACGTCTGACTGACGCCATGAAGGAGGTTTTGAGAGGCCAGACATCAACATCCTGCATTATGTGATGCTGTGAGCTCAGAATAGTTTTTAAATATAAAACCTGATAATTATTAGGAGAACGGTGGAGCACCTGGAAAACAGAAGACTCATTCAGACAAGACAACCAGCACTGGTTTAGAGAAAGAAGGTCCTGTTGATGAATCTGTGGGAACTCTACTACAGGTTAGCAGTGAAAAAAAAACGGGAGAGAGATATAGGTGGACTACATACACATTCCTGAACTGTAAGCTAGTGTAAGATAATGTATTGCACCGTTAACTGATGAACAAACTAGAAAAGCAGGCAGGGATAACAGCAAAGTTCTCAATGGATAGAAGAATAATCAAGAGAGAGGAGATATAGGAATGGTCAAGCTGGATGTATCAGGAGCAGACATGAGTGACTATATACTTACTTTCATATACGTAACGACATGACAGAAAAGAAAATTGTCTGTATTTCATGAGTTGAGAATTATGATAACTAATAAGGAGAATAACAACTGCAGAGAATGAAGGAACAACATAATTCAGACACAGCTAATAAAATTCAGCCCCAACAAATGTGAGGTTATGAAAAACGGGAAAGAAGTTTAGGCTAGTGATCCACAGGAAGACTGCTAACCTCAAGCAAGGAGGACCCTAGAGTACAATATAGAATATAGATGAACAGGAATCCGTCAGTGGAGAATGAATTCCCTGCAAATGTAATTCAGGACTATGTACGTTAAATATCACACCTGTCATAGAATATGCAGCACCTGCCTACGGGAAGTACCTAATCATGTGTTTAAATAACTAGAGAAAGTTCAGGGATTTACAGTAGTATTGACTCCTATATAAAGTTTTAAGGAGTACACAGCAGGAGTCACGAGACAACAAACTAATGAGCATATAGTTAACAGGTCGGGACATGAGTTGAGATTCAACTCCTACAACCAGGACTAGGTGAGTATGCGTTCCTGGACAGACGTTTGGACAAATCTCCTTACACATGCTGCCCTTGACATCCTAGCAAATAAAAGCGTGCAGTAACATTTTTGGAGATGGTCAACTTGTTATTATGTAGAAACAAGGAAGCATTAGGCAGCTGTGTGTTTACCTGGAGAGAGAGAGAGTTCCGGGGGTCAACGCCCCCGCGGCCCGGTCTGTGACCAGGCCTCCTGGTGGATCAGCGCCTGATCAACCAGGTAGTTACAGCAGCAGAACAATACTCGTGTCTCATCTTCATTATCACTATTTACAACTGATATGTTTTTTCCACTCAGAATACGAACTATTAATTGCTAGGCAATGTTCCTATGGCATTCTGATTCACTTAACTAAAACGAATTTCCTTACCTTAAGCATTTTTGTTCATATTAGGATGTTTCTCATGGTACAATAATTGAAACATTTCTGTCCATATATTATTACGATGTTCCACACTGTACCATACCAAAATACCTCTGAGAATACAGTATTTAGAGGTTGCAGATGATACTAGTTAAGCTAATGTTTCTCAACAAGGAGGTGACTCGTGGGACTTTATTATAAATGATAATTGGAGAATATGATACACAACTTCTAAAATAATATTAAACTACAGTAACTTTAACTAAAAACTATACTAGAGGTGTTAGTATGATATGGTGTTGACATTCTATGTTAATGAGCTTTTATGGTGTGTCAGGTGCTGATGCTGGCGCTGCTGACTGTGGCGAACTGCCGAAGCTTATTTGATGGAGGAGACGAAGTGGAGGTCGCCGAGACTGACAGGTACACCCCACCCACACCCCTCCATCACTCCACTCACCCCTCCAACACCCCACCCTCACCCCTCCAACACTATTCTCACCCCTTCAACAACCCACCCTCACTCCTACACTCCAGCCTCACCCCTCCAACATTCCACCCTCACCCTTCCAACACTTCAGCCTCATCCCTTCAATACCCTCCTTCCCCTCCAAAACACCACCCTCACCCCTCCACCCTCACCCTTCCAACACTCCAACCTCATCCCTCAAACACTCCCTCCTCACTCCTCCAACACTCCAGTCTCCTCACTCCTCCAACACTCCAGCCTCCTCACTCCTCCAACACTCCAGCCTCCTCACTCCTCCAACACTCCAGCCTCCTCACTCCTACAACTCTCCAGTCTTCTCACTCCCCCAACACTCCAGCCTTCTCACTCCTCCAACACTCCAGCCTCCTCACTCCTCCAACACTCCAGCCTCCTCACTCCTCCAGCACTCCAGCCTCCTCACTCCTCCAACACTCCAGCCTCCTCACTCCTCCAACACTCCAGCCTCCTCACTCCTCCAAAACTCCAGCCTCCTCACTCCTCCAACACTCCAGCCTCCTCACTCCTCCAAAACTCCAGCCTCCTCACTTCTCCAACACTCCAGCCTCCCTGTCCCCAGTGTCTCATGGACACTTTGTAATATATTAACACGCAAAGTTTTTCCTCAATTAAAATATTTAGTGATATATTTAATACTTTATGAGTTTCACTTAAAATGGAGAACTTAAAAAAAAATTAAATCCGTCTACTATTGTGGTTACATTTAATTATTGATAATATCTTCTCGTATTGCACTAGGTTAATAAATGAAAATGAGGATCGACCATCGGCATTCCATGAGAAGGGCTCCCCGCTGTCTCCAGAGTCTGCCACTGCTCTTGTTCTTCCCTCAGCATATAAGAAGGTAGACCTCGAGACAAAGGGACGCGGTCTGGTGTCCCACGAATCAGAGAGGAATGAATTGCCATCTTCATTCCATGAGAAGGGCTCCCCGCTATCTCCTGAATCTGCCACTGCTCTTGTTCTTCCTTCAGCATATAAGAAGGTAGACCTCGAGACGAAGGGACGCGGTCTGTTGTCCCATGAATCAGAGAGGAGTGAATTGCCATCCTCATTCCATGAGAAGGGCTCCCCGCTGTCTCCTGAGTCTGCCACTGCTCTTGTTCTTCCCTCAGCATATGAAAAAGTGGACCTCGATTCCGAGGGACATGAACTGTCATCCTCATTCCATGAGAAGGGCTCGTCTCTCTCCCCAGAGTCTGCTACTGCTCTTGTTCTTCCTTCACAATATGAAACAGTGGACCTCGATTCGGAGATTTTCGATTTGTCGTCTTCATTCCATGAGAAGGGTTCTTCGCTCTCCCCTGAGTCTGCTACTGCCCTCGTTCTTCCTTCAGCATATAAAGTAGTGGACCTCGACTGAAACTCACGCGAGTTGTCATTCTCATTTACAAGGTTTCCCCACTCTCCCGCAAGTCTATGACGCCGAAGCTGTGCTGAGCGAGATATGCTTGAGAGCAAGTGTGGATATAAGTGTGTCAAGCACTAGTTTAGCGGAACCTGATGAAGGAAATCAGTTTATGACTTCCTAAGAAATTTATTGCTAATAGCTTGACTATAATTTATAATAAATAAGAATTTAAAAATTTCAAAGTTTCATTTAGAAAAATAATTTTGTATATTATGTGTACACATATTTACTCTCAATGAAAGAGAATCCAACTGCTTTCTAACACATTCCCAAGAATCATAACAATAACTGGCTGTATAAAAAGAATGCACAGCTCAGTAAGTCTCACTTTGGAATAAAATAACTCATTTTGATGCACTACTGAAAATTAAGAAAAAACATACTTAATCAAGCGAAACGTTGTAATATAAAGTACCTATACTGTGTCAAAATATCTTATTCCAGATGGGGAGTCATTACAATTCTTTCCTCCTTAAGTCAGGTCACGTCAAGAGTAACTCGTCTCTCAACTTATATTAAATCACATAGTAAATACATATAGTAAATCACCATATAAAGTCCTGAAACTGAGTAATAATTACGCACACACACACACACACACACACACACACACACACACACACACACACACACACACACACACACACACACACACACACACACACACACACACACACACATATATATATATATATATATATATATATATATATATATATATATATATATATATATATATATATATATATATATATATTATATATATATACAGATATATGCAGAACAAAAATTGTGAAAAAAGCAGTGGCCTTCCAAACCCTTTCGTGATACCTCACATTATCACAGAACTGTAAAATTAAAAGATCAGCGAAAGGCATTTAAGGACGAGATTACACCTCACAGTCAACTTACAACACCTGAGCCTTTATGATGCAGGTAGGTGGTCAGGGACCTTTCAGATAAGTCCTTGACCTGCCTTCTGCTGATCTTGTGTTTTTATAGTTCCTTGATAATGTGGGATATCACAAAAGCGTTTGGAAGTTCATTGTTTTTTCACAGTGGTTGTTCTGAGAATTCTGAACATTGTAAAAATCTCTCGTCGGTTGACGCATGCTGGGGTTGAGATGAAGAGCTGAAAACCACTTGCCTGAAGGCTGGCTGCCTTGGACCAAAACGTCTAGCTATATATATATAAATATGAATATATATATATATATATATATATATAATATATATATATATATATATATATATATATATATATATACAGTGGTCCCTCGTTGTTCGTAATTAATCCGTTCCTGGAGTCGTTACTACAAACGAAATTTACGATTTACGAATCAATTTTCCCCATAAGAAATAATGTAAATACAATTAATCCGTTCCTGACACCCAGAAGTATTAAAACAAAAAAATTTTAACATGAAATATGCATGTAGTACATAAACAATACAATGGGAAATGATGAATGAAACATTAACAGCATAACACTTACCTTTATTGGAGATTCTTCTTAGTGTATGGGAGACTGGAGGAGGAGAGAGAGTGGATTGTTTATAGTTTGGAAGGGGAATCCCCTTCCATCAACACCTCAGGTACCATTTGCTTTTCTGGGGTTGCTTCTCTTCTCTGTTTCTTAATGCCACTAGGACCACCTTGAGAGTCACTGGAGTCCTGTTTCACAAAATAACTGTGGAGTGAGCTCTGTTTCTGGCATCTCTTTAACACTTCCCTAAAATGGCCCAAGACTTTGTCACTGTACATGTTGCCAACCTAGCTTGCAACAACCTTGTTAGGGTGATGTTTCTCCATAAAGCTTTCCATCTTACCCCACATAGTAAAAATCTCTTTAATTTCTGAAGAAGGCACCTTCTTCCATCTCTCTTCCTCCTCCTCTGCAGCAAGATTCTGAGCTGCGATGTGTTGCTCTTCATGCTGAAGCTTTTGCAGCTCCTCAGTGGTGAGCTCTTCATTGTCGTCTTCCACCAATTCTTCCACATCCTCCAAACTCACATCCAACCCCATGGAACTCCCCAGTGCCACAATTGATTTTACAACAGACATAGGCTCATTAGGGTCAGTCCCAAATTCTTCAAAATCCCTCTTGTCGACACAATCTGGCCACAATTTTCTCCAGGCAGAGTTCAAAGTCCTGGTAGTCACTCCCTCCCAAGCCATACCTATAAGGGTTATGCAGTGGAGGATGCTGAAGTGTTCTCTCCAAAATTCCCTTAGGGTCAAGTGAGTGTCTGTGGTCACAGTCAAGCACCTGTGAAACATTGCTTTTGTGTAAAGTTTTTTAAAGTTTGCAATAACCTGCTGGTCCAGGGGCTGGAGGAGAGGAGTGGTATTCGGGGGCAAGAACTTTACTGTGATGAACCCAAACTCCTCAAAAATTAGGTCATCCAAGTTTGGAAGATGAGCACGTGCATTGTCCATTACTAGCAGGCACTTGAGATCCAATTTCTTTTCCAGGAGATATTCCTTCACACTAGGGCCAAACACTTCATTGAACCACTCGACGAAAATTTCCCTCGTGACCCATGCCTTACTATTAGATTTCCAAAACACACACAATTTACTCTTCATAACATTGTTTTTCCTGAACACTCTGGGATTTTCAGAATGGTATACTAGTAATGGCTTCACTTTGAAATCCCCACTAGCATTAGCACAGAACATTAGCGTCAGCCTGTCTTTCATAGGCTTGTGTCCTGGCATTGCCTTTTCCTCTTGTGTAATGAAGGTCCTCTTTGCCATTTTCTTCCAAAAGAGGCCTGTTTCGTCACAATTGAACACTTGTTCAGGTTTCAGTCCTTCAGCCTCTATGTACTCGTGGAATTCATGCACATATTTTTCAGCCGCCTTGTGGTCCGAACTGGCAGCCTCACCATGCCTTACCACACTGTGTATGCTAGTACGGTTCTTAAATCTCTCAAACCAGCCTTTGCTGGCCTTAAATTCACTCCACCACTATTTGCAGGCAATTTCTTTACCAAATCTTCATGCAACTGCCTAGCCTTTTCACAAATAAACGAAGTCATAAGAGTATCTCCTGCTAATTGTGTCTCATTTATCCGCACCAATAATAACTTCTCAACCTCTTTCAGTACTGGTGATCTCATTTTTGTCAGCATAGTTACTCCCTTTGCAACAACAGCATCCTTTATTTAATTTTTCTTGGCCATTATGGAACATAAGGTTGTGTAGGGTTTCTTATACATCCTGGACAGTTCGGCCACACTTGTACCACTTTCATATTGTTCAATGATGGTTTTCTTAATTTCAATCGTATTTCTCACCTTCTTTACCACAGGCATGGCACTAGGAGCTTTCTTTGGAGCCATGGTAGCTTATTTAGTACTTGCAAGCACTAAAATAAATGGAATATTATGAAATATTTCGCTGGAGCACGTGAGGGGACCTTCACTCACTGGTAAACAATGCCAGACTGGCTGCCGCCCTGGCTCACGCCGTGGGTACGCGTCCCGGACGAACTACGACTCGCGAGTCCACGTTTATACGAAAATACCTCTATGATTGGCGAATTTTACGATTGCCGGGAACTACGAAAAGCGGGGGACCACTGTATATTTTATATATATTATATATATTTTTATATATTTTATATATATATATATATATATATATATATATTTTATATATATATATCAACGAACCGGCCATATCCCAACAAGGCAGGGTGGCCCAAAAAGAAAAACGAAAGTTTCTCTTTTTACATTTAGTAATATATACAGGATAAGGAGTCACTAGCCCCTTGCTCCCGGCATTTTAATCGCCTCTTACAACATGCATGGTTTATGGAGGAAAAA